TCAATAATTTACTCCCACATTTCGCGGCGCCACATTTCGATACCGCATACACACTTGAAGGAGTAGGTACTAATGAGTTTTTCTAAAGGTCATAATTACTGTACCGTTGAGTCCAGGGTTGCTAGTTTGGCTAGTTATTTGAAGTGCCCCTTTTTACATTCGGACATAGACCATTTTTTGAAAAATACTACACCCCATTCCAATAAAGGTCTTATTTTTTAAAATGAGAAAAATGGCATTTTTTGAGATAAACGATCGGATGCTTAGTTCAATGTAAAGACAAAGATGTGTCATTAATATTGGAAAACAATTTCAGCCAACACCGCCACGGCTACGCTTACAGGGCCGTATCCTTTTTGTGAAATTTTCCATCACCAAATCATGAGGTGGCGGCTGTATACTCTCAAAATCTTCAATAATTCTATCGTTGAGGCCTTAAACCGACTTTGGATGGAGAGGCTCTTCAACTGGCTTTTGCTTATTCACGTAGCCATCTTGGAAATGAGCCGAATCAGTCAAAATGATTTTTCGATGAAGTTCCAGATCTAATGATCGGCCGGCCTGAGCTCTTGTGATAACTGAACTTTAAAAGACTCAATACCCAAGACTTCATGCAAAATACGGTAATGTCCTTTGTGGAATGCCCAATTCCAAAAAAAAACAGCAATGAACAAACCTATGTTTTTCTCCACCATTTGCGTCACAGCGACAATATCTTTAGTTTTTCTTGAGCGACATGTATGTGTTTTATTCTTCACATAATTTACTTGTCCCAACAGCTCCATTTTTTCCACCAATTTGTATATTGCGTTCCGACAAGGTGCTCCATGACGACCGAACAATATTTATGCTTTGGGGCCGCTTCTGCCAGGTTTTCACCATTTTTATAGTGAATTTTATTAGGTTTAGTATTTTATTTTATTTTAATTCAATGCTGACAGAAGAGGTGTTAGGTTTGTGAGCTGATTATGGATCAGTGTCGTCCATTTTTGAGGGATGCTTAGACCCCATTGAAATTTATATATCTCTCACGCGTACGCGATTTAGCCATATTTCGTTCGAAAATATTAGAAATGCGTTTTTGAAGGAAATTTAACTCGAATATGCTATATGCCTATCATTTTTGAGATACATAACCTTTGCAAAATTTTACATAAGCTGTGTTCGTTGAGAAATGACAGTAAAAGTTGGCCAGTAACGAAATTGAGAGAGTAAAATGTCTTACTCTCCCAAAGAAAGAAATTTACTGAGCTTTCACCGAACAGGATTCAGTAAAAATTTTCTAGTAATCAAATCTAGTAGTCAAATTGGCAATTAAATGGCTTTGTTTTATTAATTATGTTCAAGTTTTATTGAATTGCAGCAATGATGAAATTCTGCAAGATTTATTGTCGTTAAACGATAAAGATACCATTATGATTTTTCTATGATAATAGTCCTCTAAAAGGACGAGTATTTACGTTAAACTTGCTTTGCAAAATTTGTTACTTACATTTTAGATTTTCAGGAAGGATATTTGAAATACGAAGATGAGTTTGGAATTCATTTGCCCTGTAAGCCGGTTATATTAACTGAACATTATTATAGGGTCTTTGATTCTGTTAAATGAAATCCGAGCAGAAGCTTAATTTCCCCTTTCAAACCCGTCGTCGCTTCTGGAAGCTTAAGAATGAATGTATTATCGTCCCTGTGACCGTAACAACAACTTTAACAAGCTTTCTAGTAAATTTGAGATATCCAAAATTAATTAGCGTTGCACAAGAAATAATAATAAATTAAAATTGTATACCTTCAACAATCCTAACTTCTAGTTTCTCAACGTAAGCTGGGTGGTGTGCGGTTGATGATTCCACTCCACTGTCACCACATTCTCATTTATAGAGTGCCTTAACTATTTAATTGGGTACTGTAAGTGTCTAATTTATATTATTTTCATTTTAAATTCTTTCCGTTCAGTTGACAAAAGTTCAATCATATGATGTCTTTGCATACTTGCTAATTTTTACTGGCTGAAATTTTCCCAATACGAATATGGATCAAAATTGCACTCTCTCATTACTAGTTTTACTGGGCTCTCGGCTCAACGAACACTATTCAGTAAAATTCAGTAAAAGTTGTTACTGCCCATTCGATCAACGAACAGAACTATTGTATGCTCGCGACTCAAGAGTACTAATCACGAACCATGAAAGTACTGAAGCTTTGATTTTGTTTATATGCCTAGTTGCTTATTTGCTTTCTTACTTATGACAGCAGCAATAATAGAAATATTGTATAAAGGAATGACGACTAAAAACGACTGCACCAAGCAGTGCTTCACTTCATTGGCCACATCATTGCTCCATCATCTGTTGGCCTTTTTAAGAGTGAATTTCGGCAATGGAATGATAATCTCATACTTTGCTTTGGTGCGGCTCTTTGTTTGTATTATTATTAGTTTTTTTTATACGTTTCGAATGACAATACGAGTATAAGACAAATAGAGTTTTAATAGAGAAAAGCAGCTCAAGAAGAAAAAGGAAAAAAGCAGCGCAACCCAAACTAGAAAGTTGTTAGACTAGTTTTGTTTTTGTTTCCTGTACTCTATATATGTACATATGTATATGTATGTATTTCTTCTTCTTTTTCAGGCTTATTTATGGTTTTTATTTTTATTCGAAACATCTTTCGCTTCGGGCTTCAATTATTACGTGGATTTTTTGTTTATTGTTCCAAGTTGTTGGAAAATTCATACTTTCGGTGAGAAAGATTTAAGCTCATAGCAGCAAAGCGATAAGAACATTTAAGTTTCAATTCAAAAACATATACATATCTACATATATGCAATTGTCGAGCTCATGGAATGAAACATACACCATATTAGAAAATCCCGTTAAGTTTCAGTTCATATAATTTGTTTAAGAATAAACCAAATCAACGAAATCGGATAATAAATGAAGCAGAGTCAATTCTAGACACATGCATATTTTCGTATATGTACATATGTATAACATCTGTTAATTTTTACAAATGTACATACATCTGTATCTGTTCGTATTAGTTTTTCTTAGTTGAATTACAAACGCATTAAGCGCTACTCATTGCTCGATTCAAGCGATTCGAATGGCTTCTGCTTGCGGCTTCGAGGTTCACTATACTAGTCGGTTGATGCGGAGAGGTGAGAGTTGACTGTATTTGCTGCAGCAGTGCGATCACCCAATTGCTCCATCAGTTATATTACCCAACAAACATTAGACGTATAAAGGCTTTATATCAAGGAAAATCGTTTTATGGAAGAATAATGCTTGAGTTCTGTTGAAAAACAAGAGATAAATTAAATTATATTGCAAACTAAATTTAAAAAACGTAATAGTTGCCACGGAAGATGTATAATTTACACAAAGATTGTAGTTTGTACTTCCTAATTTTATTATATTATTTATATGCAAGATTTACTAATGCATATAACGGTTGTTTTTATTTTACCCAACTATTGAAGAGAGACACTAGTTTTATGTTATGTCTATGGAAGCGACCATTAGCTAGTAACCAACTTCCCTTAATTGCCTTTGAACTTCGTTCGGCAATAATGGCGCAAGTGGTATCTACGCCAATGAAGAAGAAGAGGAAGGACCACCTCCTTCCATTTTTAGTGACCAAATATATTTTAACTATGCCACTGTCTGCCGAGCTTTGGTATATTATATACACAAATTTATATTAAAGCGATCTTTTGAGCTTCGGCTCGCTGGGTTACTAATAGTTTGTTTGGAGAAATCCGGATTTCGTCGTTATTATACGAGTATTTGTGTTTTGTGTTGTGCCGAGGAGCCGTGAATCATCAACTCTTTGCTAGTATTGTATTTATTGTTTAAGTTGAAATATGGTTTTACAGATGTGCCTATGGGTCGCAACATGCATTTGTACAAAGCTTTTTCTACGTTTATACGTAAAACATAATTCTTTCATTGACGAATTTCGAAACATTTTGGTTTATGCTGCGATTATAAAATTATATTGTATTGATACAGTGTAATATACCGTTGTTTTGCAAAATTTATACCTCGATTGGTAGTATATAACCACCAACTTCGGAATTCCTACTTTCAATAAGATTTGAGGTATCTACAATACTTGCGAAATTCGAACAAACTTGGTGGATATTTCAGTGAGAAGGATTTAGACTTAGGATGTTGGCGTATTTTCAAAGAGTGAGGAAGAGCCCTAAATTTCAGCCACTGCAGGTAAGGGGCTCAAGAATTTGGACGTGGTAACAGGCGACTAAAATTCAATTGTTCCCACGACTCTCGGGTGTCTATACCGAAGCAACCAGGATTTTTATCCGGTCGGTCCTAAATGTCAATGTATATAATAGGCGCACATGTAATAAATAGTTGCGTACTGTAAGGCCATATGTATGGACACAAATTCACCTGATCTTTTATTTAAGCTTTTCTTGCTGTAATTTCTCAACATGTAGAATACATATGTTCAGTAATCAAAAGAAAGGAAATCAGTTTTTTCTCCATTTGCGGTGACGAATAATCAGCTTTCTTAAGAATAGCGCTTTAATCCAACCCAAAGTTGATCAAAAAAATAATAATGAAAATTTCGCCTTCCATCAGCTGATCTCTGAGGTTAGTATACACGCATAAGTACATATGTATGTATATACGTAAGTACATTTTTGAATTCCGTTATTTGTGTTAATGTCATTATATGTTGAGATCTCATTTTAAAGGACAACATACTTGGTGCAGCCGTGCGAATGCTCAGTAAGATTTTTTAGTTTTCACTCAACTTCTCATGGATAAATAAAAAGGTAGATTGAAAATTATTTATAAATTCAAAAATATTAATACAATGCCCCGATTGCTCATTCTCATCGGGTATACAATGATATTTCATATTTAATGGTCTTGATAATTTACGCCCAAAACTAAGTTTCTTCCTGAATAACTCATTGCACTATAAATTAGCTGAAAATGTTTGTTTAAAGTGAATTAATATTAGACACTAACCTCCTTATGATCGGCAGTGGTAAAGTGAAGCACCCTTCGCTGACAACTGGCGGCGCAACACCTGGCATAGGAACGGTTGATATCACAGGCGTAAGAAGAGTTGTGCCTGGTGGTGGTGGCGGTATGGGTCCCACTATTGTGGGAGGTGGCGACGAAGTTACTACTGATGTCGAACAACCATTCAATGGCAATGCACTATAGGGTGGAGGAAAATGTCTATGTAAAAGATCTGGAATCATGGGACGTAACAACGTCGACATTGCAGATTGCATCGGAGTTGTTGCGGAGTGATGGATGCTGGATTGTAGATGCAACGCGGCTATACTTGACATAGACACTGGGCCAGGAGGCATAGAGTGACGATCTTGAGGTCGGCGCAGTACAGAAGGCATATGCAAATGCTGAGGATGCGGGTAGGATGAGGACAATTGTTGCTGTAATTGACGACGTTCTCGTCTATCACGCCGTCTTTGAACACGATTTGAAACTGGTGAGACCGGCACTCGATTAGATCGTAATCGTGCGGCTGGTATTTCATCTGTTTGACACTCCGTCGATGTAAATGTACGGGAAACATCTGATACTATGACTGGTGGAAATGTAGCAGATCGAGGCACACTGTTAGCTTGTGATTGTAATTCATTCGTTGAGGCCGATCTTGTTGGCGAGACGGTCGTGGATGTATTCGCCCTCTGCTGGGGCCCCCCTCTGAGCGCACTCGTTGACGGAGGATTTAAACCAATTACATTAATATCCTCGGCAAAATTACCGATTTCAATTTCATTTCCATTGGAATCACTTCTGGCTGTAATATTTTTTACCTTACATATATTATTAGGTACTACACTCACTTCACTATCACCACTTCTGTTAACACTGGCACTGCTCACTGGTGTTATTGTAATTGCGTTGTTGGTTTGATAAGCACTGGAATAATTACAATTGACTACACTGACGCCATTATTTTTAACAATATTTTCTTGTTGCACATAAACTTTAACATTTTGCAACGCCGCTTCTACTCCAATATGAGCAATATTATCGCTATTATTTACACAATTATTTGTTAAATTATAAATACTTCTATTATTTTTATTATAAATGCAATTACTGTTGTTGTTTTGATCACTTTTATCAGAATTCACGTGTATCGTCAGGCTAGCCTGGTGCCTAGTAGCCGATGAGGCCAGCACCGGTTCCGTCGCGTTATTATTGCTCCCCTTGGCATTTTCAATGGCACCAACAACAACATCGTCAATGTAAATTTTTTCATTTTCTTCACTATTGAAGCAATTGCCGTTATTCTGCTTATTTTCATGTAGAAGATTACTGCAGCGATCGTCGCTGCTAACACTAATACTCCTCTGGCGACCATTACTGGGCGGGCAACTCGCGGCCACATAGTCAGGACTGCCTAAAAACACGCTGCTTGTTCTGCTGGTGGGCAAAACTTTCGATGTTTGAACTTGCTGCGTTTGCAAGTCCGCGGCTGAGGAGCGGAACGACCCGTCCGTCGGAGCAGGTACACTAAGGCGCATGCTGAGCGACGAGTTTGGGTTTGCTACAGAGGCACTACTATTAGCAGTCAAAAGTTCACATTCATCCGCGCAATTGGACCCACTATCTCCTCTATCACTTTGAATACGGTTGAAGCAATGTTGACGACTTTCAATACTTCTGCTGTCTTCGTCAGCATCTTTTCGCGCTGCCGCAAGCGCACTTTCACTCGCACGAAATTCAGCATACAATCGTTCGAGTTCCGCCAGACATTTATTGGGTGTTAACGCATCGGACGGTGGTACGATTTCGAATCTTGATCGTGTCACCCGCTTGACTTTGGATCGCACACTGTTTAATGTCTTTTCCCACAAATGCGAATACGACGGCAAAGCAACTAACGAGGAACGCGACTGACACGCACCTAAACGACCGTCGAATGAGCGCGACACGGATTGAATGATCGTCACTGCATCAACCACCGGTGGCTCAGCGTAGATTTCAGTGAAGTTGCTTTCCCAATTTCTGCTACATGCTCTCTTCGCGCTTGTCGCTTTGTCGCTCTGCAACTCAGCAAACAGGTTTGATAATGTGCTCACTCCAGCGGCGTCCATTCCATTGTTTGAGCAAACACCATTCATTGAATTTGTATCGAGTCTCCGGCCAAAAGCATTGTTTTTGCATTTCTGATTGTTTACGACACGGGTGCGTACATCTGAGGAGAGGAGAGAGTTTTCGTTGCTGTCGATGTAGGAAACAGGTTGACTGACCTCCTCTCCGTCGAGTGTTGTTGTTTTTGGTCTTTCCGCTTCTTTTGTTGTGTTGTTCGTTTCTGCTGTGATTGCTGCAGTTATCGACAGCGCCATTGCATTTGATTGTGAATTATTGGCGTGTTGCTTTACTTGAATTTTCTTTCTGCGGCTGTCGGCTTCGTCATCATCGTCATCATCATTTTGCTCATTATTGTTGCTTTTATTCATTTTATTTTTGCATTCTTCAGTTTGTTGTGATCGAATATTCTTTAGCAAGTTTTCTTTCACCTCGTGGTCTTGGTTGGTGTTGTCGTTGTTGTTATCGACTCGATTGTGAGCCGCATTGTCACAGCATGTCTCGCTTGCTGCCGTGGAGCGTATTATATTTTCCAATTTTCCCAATGGCTGAGAATAGGACTGCAACGGAAAGAATATATAATATTATGATTATTAGTAAATGAGGGAAGTGTTTTGCGTATTACATGTACGTATGTAAATATGGATGCACATATGTAATAACGTTAGAGTGCATCTGCGTGGGTACTTATGTATATATGCACATTAGGTATTATCATGTTTATGTTATTGAACACAACTTTTGTTCTTGATAAATTAATTAATTAATAAATTTTTAATGAATAAACCTTAAATTTTCCTTATTTTATTTCTCAGGGTGTAATGGTCAAATAACTCAGAACATAATCGAATGTGTGCCGCTTCCGGTGTACGAGTTAAAGATAATGTAAGGCCAGCAACTCAATACGTTCTCAGTTCGTAAATCATTCTTTGCATACTTTTAGGCAGGACTATTAAGTATGCACTGAATTGTACAGTGGCTACCGAACTTCCGCTTGAAGCGAGAACTTGTAAATTCACTTTAATACACTTTTATGGTCATGATTTTGATTTGGGTTATTAAACAATCATAATCAGAATAATCATAATCATAATCAGGGGTGTTACAAAGCAGGTTGACGTCAGAATCCAAAATGAAACCGACAATATTCTGCGGAAGATGGTACACATTCCGATTATTGATTTGCATATCGGTTTCATTTTCGAAACAGAATTTGTGTCGATTTAGGGGTTACAGAAACCGATCGTTCTATCGTTTTAACCGGCCTATTCTCACTGTTACCGGCGAAGTAGATTTTGTTGTTTTTTTAACACCCGAAACTGACTTTGGTATTCTGGCGAATTGATTACAATGTTTGAAAAAACTTGGCCAGCACTGCTTTTTTGTCATTTTGACAGTTGGTAAAGTAAAAATGAAGATTATTCACATCAAAATGGAGGACGGTGCACTACAAAATAAATAAGTTTTATTTATTTGTTTATTAAAAGATAAATATTTGAAACTAATTATAGAAAATATGCCTGAAGGGGCGCTAAGGGGATATTTAATTCCTTCTACACAGACCGTTTATAGGCACCTTCGGCTAAACGCCGCTGCGTCGCTGTAGGTTGGATCACTGGTGCACAGACTGATTATCTAACTTTTTCTCAATGACATCCAACACTATTACAAAGGCTTCTTTGTTTAGACGATAATTGGTCTGGGAATCTACATACAAACAAATTTTGTTTCAGCAAATGTAAAAGTATAATGCAAATTCCACTTACATCGATTCTGGCGGCTCCAGCGGTTTGCTCTTATCCTTTACAATTTCGCGCTTTATTTTCTGGATTATTTCTCCAAATCCTTCTATCATCAAAAATGCTATCACTGCCGAAGTCATTTGATATATAATTTATAATCACAAATGTGCTAAACCCAGTACAAAAATTAAATTGAATTGCTGGTTTTTTGCAAAACAGCTGATTCGAATGTCGGTTAAGCTTATCTTCGAAATATGCAATAACAAGTCGGTTTCATAACACCATTTAAAATAGCAATTCTATTTCTGAATATCATAATTTATAAAGACTTGTGTTTAAAAAAGACCTCTGACTTATTCCAATTAGTTATGAATAGTTTAGTCAACATTAGTTCTATTCGGCGAACTGATGCGCAGTAACAACTGTTACTGAATTTTACTGAACCAGACAGAAATTAGTAGCGGGAGAGCCTACTTTTGCCAGTAAAAACTACCAACTCTGAAAAACAGCTGATTGTGATTATATGATTTAATTTTTGTCAACAAAACAAAAATTACCTAAGATAAAAATAATATGAATAATGCACAACAACATAGTAATAAGGACCCAAATGTAATTTCATTAAATTGAATTTAGTTATATCCACGGCCTCCAATGAGGAATTGAAAGTTAGGAATGTTGAAGGCATAGAAATTTGAATATATCCTCATATAGCTTTTATTGTATAAGCAATAAGCAATTATGCAACAATTTTCAAACACATTAAATTTAACTCATAATTGCCCATTTTTGAACGGTCATATCTAAGGAACACCTTAGTCGATTTTACGCGCTCAAGTTTCTATATGTAAAATAGAAAAATTAGCAAAATTAGTTTTGCTTTCGGCTGTAATTACTTCTCCAATATACGGGCTTTGAGCATTTTTCCCCATCGCGCGACGACTTGCTACTGAACACCCATACACATGCATAAGTACTGTTGCTTTCTCTTAAAAACCGGCAAGGTATTGGATGTGTATTTTTCTGTGTACTATACATATATATGTATGTATGTACACAAGTACCTTAACACAACTGAAAAGCCAAATTGTTCATCAATTCATATCCGGATGACTCGTTCAGGAAATGGGACGCCATTAAAGGAGGTGTTCCTCAATTTCCTGCCCAAAATTGCAATATTATATTATTTGCTTGCAAACTAAATTAGGTGGGCATCATGTTCGATATTCCTACACACACAGTTTAAATATAGACTTAAGAGACCTTTTTGCTTCTGCCCCTTCCCCGTCACCTTAACTGCGTACACTCAGTTTATTTATAGACACATTTCATTTCTCATACATACTCACATACTCATGTACAATGTGTTTGCATTCCACATGCATGGCTCGGAGGGTATTACGACTGTGGTTTGATGGTATCATAGTTCTAAAAGTCTATTGAAAGTTACTCACTATGCGAATCTGCTATGCTGCATTTTAAGAAAGCACAAAGAGAACTACCAACAAGTCACAAAACTTCTTATTTACTTATTAGGTGTAGTAAAAAGAGATCCATTTTTTTTTTTGCATAAAATGGAATTATTTAATTTTTGCTTTTCGCATCCAGCCTTATTTATACTCTAGGCAATCCACACATTGCTTACTTGACGGTCAGACTCGACTCCGTGAGGAATCTTTTTCATCAAAAGTACCGGAATCGAACCGAATTTGTGTATGATTGACTGTAACAGTATCAGGACCATAAAAGCTATTCACATCTCGGCCGCCTGGCTTGCGTTTTCATCCTTATCGAAGAAAAACTGTAAAATATAGCATATTTTCTCTATACCAGTGCCCATCTTTGACGCGCGCTCAAACAAAACTGAGTCAACCAATTACGAAATTGTCAGAAAAGTAGTTTTAGTACGCAATGTCATCTTTCTAACGCCGTCTGGCGGAACCAGATCGGACTTATACAAAGCGAGTAATGGATTTCCTTTTACTACACCTAATAAATCGTACAGTATGATAATAAAAACAACAAATTCATCTCAAATTCTCTTTGCCACGAATTGGAATTTGCAAGAGGAGTTAGGGATTCGAGTATTACTAGTTCTTCGAAGAGTTATTTTTTGAGTCGAAGCTACGCTTTTATCAAAAATACTCGTAAACGATATTTTATGGACATTTATCTGCTGAAAAAGGTTTCAAAACTTCTAAATGCTAAAATATTAAAATATCTATGAGCTCTTTCCATAATTCAACTCACCTCATTCGGCGATGGTTTGTTGAAATAATTTTCAGTCTTCCGCTCGTCGAATTCAGCACTTTTAATTGTTGAGAAATCATCTGAGTTAAGCGATTTAGAATTAATGTCGTTTGTATGCGCTACTACCTCTTTTGATTTCAACGATTCTTTCAGATAAAGCGAGTCATACGAAGGAGGCTCTTTTGACCCAATCGATGGGGCCCACCATTTGTTTAGGCTAGGTATGGGCCCATAATATGGATATGAGAATCGTAAACTACCATCTTTGAATGAGTTCCTTTGTTTGCGATTTGAGCTGATTTTTGGGGAATCGCTAGAATCGGTGTTGTTTCTGTTGTTGTAGAAATAATTAGTGAAAGGCACAAAAGGTGTTGATTGCAGGGAATTAGCTACATTTGTTGTTGTTGGTACAGTCATCATCGCAGGCGAACAAAAACGGTTTTCCACCTCATAGCCTGTTGTGGTGAGTGGCTCGTAAGCATATCGACGATCATAGCTGCTATGAGACTTATGAAGGCGATTGATTCGACACCGATCATCTTCATCAGAGGAACTCTCGGTGGAAGTAGGCTCATATGGTGTCCACAGCATAGACGAGAGTGCCTCCTCGACGTCAGGTGGTCTTCGTGAATGTTGAAAAGTTCTTTCTCCGCTCATAATGTCGCCTTTTTAGATACGCAGTAGATGAATTTTGTATTCTCATTTCATTGGTTTTCTTGGCAGTTTTGAACAGTAAAAATTATCTGTTCTCATTGTCCATATACATCTAGCAAAAGTCCTTTAAAGAGACAGAGAAAAACTTTGAGCTGACTTGACTTTCGAAATACTTATAAGAGAAAAACTTATCAAAAATCCTACTTCTTAAAATATTTCAGTTAACTCTTTACTTATAAGTAGCTACTATTCGAGGTGCATACAATAGGCTTTCTCACTGAAAATAAATTTAAATTTTTGACAGTGTCAAAACTAACGATATTTTAATCAAGTTTGTATTTTTAAATATTTTTGCTAATATTTTTAGTGTTTATTATGTCTCTACCAGCGCTTACCGCGCCTTCGCCCGCATGAAGTTTGAAAATACTTAAATTATTTTAGATACTAATAAATTTAACCATTTTTATTATAATATATGGATTTAAAAATTAAAGTTAAAAATAAATAAAAAACATACTATGTTTTTTATTGGAAAATTATTTTGATTTTTGGTGGGGTGCTGGAATCATCCGGCTACTTTGTGAACTTCTATGGTGCATGCCACTCACAACTGGCCAAATGAGAAGCAGTTTTCTATCTAGTCTGCGTGTCTACGGTAATTGCGAGGCATACTGTAATGGAATCCTTGGAATAAATGCAGACTGTCCTTTTCTACATAGTGGCGCATGCGTATCTTCGCTGCAACAAGATAGTGGTTCAAGTCGAGATTGGGTCCTCGGAGTGAACGTATGTCTAGAACACTGGAAACATGTTTTCTATCTATCACAACATGATCGATCTGGTTTTGTGTTTTTCGATTAGGGAACAGCCAAGTAGCTTGATGTATTTTTTGTGCTGTTATCTAGGACTACAGGCAACCATATTTCGAGCCCCAACGAAATCGATTAGTCTGAACCCATTTGGTGATGATTCGTTGTGGAGGTTGAATTTTCCGACAGTCGAACCAAAGATACCTTCCCACCCTGGCATTAAAATCGCTTTTAAAAGGTATCTTTGGCTAAATCTGTCTTCTCTTCCATCGTGGGTTGGGCGCAAATCAACGATATGTTGAAAAATTTCGCTTTGATGCGGATTGTGGCGAGACGCTCATCCACCAGTACTCGACGACGGAGTCTCTCTCCCACCAAAAATCCGACACCAAATTTGCGTTCTTTTATATGTCCGCTGTAGTAAATTTTACAAGAACCTACTTGCATTCGTCCTTGTCCCGTCCGTCGTACTTCTTGGACGGCGATGAAATCATCCTTTATTCTTACGAGGACATCAACCAGCTGTGCAGCGGCACCTTCCCAATTAAGGGACCGGACATTCCAGGTGCATGCCCTGAAATCGTGATCCTTAATTCGTTTGCGGGGGTCGTCAACGGAAAGAGGGGAATCTCACCCGAGGCGTCGCTAATTTTTTCTTTGGAACCTGTTTATACGTGGCGGATCCCAAACCCAGTTCAGAACCTCGCTAGGCAAGTAAGATTAAAGTTTTTACCCATTTAACACAGCGAGTCGCTTGCTTCAAGACCGACGCCCGGTCACAGCCGCACCTCTGGTGAACGGACGCTGTAATTACACTTCAGAGGACCCCTAAGCCGAATAAGTCTGAGTGGCTCCACTGATGCTTTCCAGGGTGCGCGACGAGGACGTAAGAGTAGGAATTGAGTATAGTCTCGCAACTGCCTCACTCCTAATGTGAGATTATATCCATTCAAAAAACATTCATCATTGGGAGAATCTAAACATAATTCACTACTAATTTTTTTAATTATCTCATTTTCAACACAAAAAAAATATTTACAATTCGATGAAAATTTAAAAATTGTTGATGATGAGGAAAGGAGGCGGATTTCAATTACCTTCGAAACTTTCAGGGCGAATGGATTTAGCATACGTTATATTGAAAAAATCCAACAAAATGTTGTATAATTCCAAAAAACTGCTTACAAATTTCATGTATACTCATTATCGGAAATTGGTTTATATAAATAATAATGATTAGACTTTTGAAATAAAATAGAATTTAATTGTTATTTCCTTTGACTTTTTATTTTACTTTTTTTAAATGTCGTCGAGTTCGAGCATTGGGTGTTCATTAGCGTTTATGATAGTATCCTTCTGCTATCTAAAGTAAAACTAACACTTGGAAGTTGTAATGAGTGAGTTTTGTCCTAAGCTGCGTCTTATACGCACAATTTTTGCATTCCATCTTCCGGAATATACAATATATATTCCAATGGACATATGCATTTTAATTAAATATTGTGTATATATATATATATATATATATAATTGGCGCTCTGTAACCGCTGAAGTGGTCTTGATGTTTTACCAACAAACCTACAGTTTACACTAAGCCGCCTCCAAACAGCTGATGGTTTTTTTATGATGGGTTGAAATTCCATGACAAGGGGCGCCCGCAGTTCGAAAATGTAACCTAATTTTGTATTAAAATTAATTTTCTATAACTTTTTGGATGTTAGTTCGACACTGAGATTTGAACCCGAGCCTTCCGAATGGCAGTACGCAATGCTAACCACTATGCTACTGCCGACCTACCGCTAACCTTACTTTTTACAGAATTTGTGAACGCTCAGGTGGCAACTAGCTGACATGAGTTGCCTTAATAACTTTACGAAGACAACGGAAAATGGTTGTGAACCACATATATGTATCATCCCGTTGATTGGGTATTCGAATTAAAGACACACGAGTTAAACATTTCTCTTTACGGTTTTACAAGCCTATTCTAAAGCAATATTTTTTGGGAGATCGCTGTTACACCTACACCATGTTTTAAATCACCATAGATGTTTGCTTTCTGGTGCAATGCTAAAGAAATCTTTGCTTTCTTATTTTCAATAATCGTTAAATTTGCATGAAGAACTTCTACTCTCAGTGTAATTTTTCAACTGAGAATAGAAAAGCGAAAGCCACAATTCGCCGTTTTCGCTGTTTGGCGCCAACAATCCTGCATACCTCAGACGCTTTGTACATATGTACATATGTATGTAGATCCCAGGCTTGATTATGTGTATACGTATACGTATCCACGACATATTTTTTCGGTTTAACTTTTTTATATTTCATTTTAAACTGTTTCGGTGGCCGTGATAGCCGTACTATCAGGCCAGGGTTCAAGTTACTGTCCAACAACCATATAAGACTGATAGAAAATTAGATTAAATAAAAAAGTAAGTTTAATTTTCTTATTGCGGTCGCCCCTCGGTGGCGGAAAACCACAAAATGGAGGATGAGCTGCATAAATATAAAAAGTTTAAAGTAAAATTTTTGGTTTTCAAACACTGCGATGACAGTGTAACACAAAAGAGGTTTAGTTGATTGAGATTGAAACTATTCTGCTTGGGAAGAAATCGCCTAGTTCTGGAAAGCCTAATTATCTAAACTTAGCTAATAATTCTTACATTGGTATGACGGTACATATTTTAAAAATTATCAGCAAAATGACATTTCACGGCAATATGATAATATTATATATTTGTGAAGAAATGAAAAGAACTAAAAAGTTCTCTTTGAACCCTTTAAGAATATTTATACCAAGATACTCTAGTGTTTCTGTAGTGAAAATTATATACTAATATATATTCGTTATTTTTATTTACTGATCTATTGCAATGACGGTGTATAGGAATTACAACTCATTGTTCCGTCATCTGCGATCTGCGTCATTTCCAATATCCTACATTGGTAAGGATCATAGATCATCCTGAAAAATGTCAGCATTATACATATATAGGGATGAAACGATACTAGAAACCGATACTTGTGTACCGTGTACTGACGTAGTATCGAAGCTCTGTTCAAGGACAATTTTATTCTTATTATTTTTTACATTTATTTTTCATTTTTTAATACTTAAACTTTTTGGCAGTTTGGTTGTCAATGAAAACCGAAAGATCGCGCTATTATCGATGAAATACGAGTATCCTATAAGACATAGCACAAGAAACAGGCAGATACAGCTGGGCTCCTGCACGAACCCGGTTCTTGTGCCATGCTCATTGTGAAAATATGCATGTTTTGTAAAGTTTTTTTCGGAAGAAAGAATCACTGTAATACATTTTGCTAGTTCTGTGTTCAACTCAACATGCAAATGTTTTCCGCCGTTGTCGAAGCTGAAGAACAGTAAAATTATTAATTTTTATTGAAATAAAATATATTTTCCCCGAACTAATTAAATGAAAATCTTTTGTGGCGAGGGAACCGAAACACAGAATACATTTCGTCTTGTCCTTGCTCACCACTAGACTCATTCGCAACGCATTTCTTCTCACCGGAGGAAAGGAGAACTACTGCGGGGTTGTTGAGGCCAATGGTATGAACATCATCGGATTATGTCTCTTGTAAAATATTGATCCTTGCTTATTAAGCTCTCTAAAAACTCACACAATAGAGAGTTAAATCGTCTGAAAATCATTGGAACTGAACGGCCTGGGAGCTCCTTTCCAGTTCTGAGTGCGCTTCTGGTAATGGCAAGTGTCAATATTACATAGACGTATCGACGCGGATGCTTTTCATGCTGTCAAAGGCAGCTTTAAAATCGATGAAAAGGTGGTGTGGATTGATTTTTTTCTGACGAGTCTTTTCCGAGATTTGGTGCATGAGGAAAATCTCCCCTTTGATGTATTGGGCAAACAAACAATTGACGGACGTGCTACTTCTCATATCAATAATTTTTGGGATGTTTATTCAAGAAAAGTACAACAACTAAAATTGGTCAGCCCTTCTTTCATTTCAGAGAACCGATCGAATAAAAACAAAGTTAAATGTCCTCAACTGATATACGTGTACAGTAGAGTTATGTACATTCATACTAATATAAAAATGTGTGTGTAAGAACGTGTGCATATACAAATATATATATATTAGTGTAATCGTCACATTTTCTGCCGTTCCGTTCTTATTAACCATTGCGCAGATGGATTGGAACTGCAAAAGAGTTGTACAAGTGCTTATTGTATATTACACGTTTAAACAGATTTTCAGCGCGTGCAAAAAATACGGAAAGTGTTTTGGAAAAATGTCCGTAGCCTTCATCTGGGGCTTAGCCCATAAA